CCCATGCATATTATTTTCTTTTTTAGTTGTGAGCAGGCAGGTCACGGCTCAGTATGTAAGCGCCAAGGAAGCGTTCTTTGAAAACGCGCCAAAAAGGGCATTGACACTTCAGCGTCTCAATGTGTTCAGTGAGAGTTTCACTTTCTCCGTATTCCTGGCGGTCGGTACCAACATGCTGAGGCGGCCCAGAAAGGTTCGTCGCGCCCTCTGATCCCCTGTCGGGTGCCTATATCCAACGTTGACGAAACACACAGCGTTAGCGGCGTTTGTAGAGGCGGGTACGGCGCCTACGACCCCTAAGCGCGGCGTCGTCTGCTCAGCTGCACGCGCGGATGCACCAAGCCGGTACCGTCAGCGTAGGAGGTGCAGAAGAATTGTGAGCCAGTGCTGCACCTCTTCTGCGCCTTTCGAAACGATTACCAGAGTTCAGGGGTCGTCACTGCTGCACCACTGCATCGAATGGCAAGATTGATTGATATGCGGAGTTTAACATCCCAAAACCACCATATGATTACATGAGAGACGCCGTAGTGGAGGGCTCCGAAAATTTAGACTACCTGGAGTTCTTTAACGTGCACACAAATCTGAGCACACAGGCCTACAGCATTTTCGCCTCCATCGAAAATGCAGCCGCCGCAGCCGGGGTTCGATCCCGCGACCTGCGGATCAGCCACCGAGTGCCTTGCCACAAGACCACCACGGTGGGGCGAATAGCAAGGGCAGCACCTTGTGAACTGGTTCATGTGGTGTGAGCGAATCGAACGGACTTAATGGTTGAGGCGCGGCCGGTACATGTATACAGTGCAGAGAACGATAACCAGGGTCTACCCTACCCTTGTTCTCCACGCTCTGCGTGCGATCAAGCATGGATCAAGTCAATAAATAATACTCTCACAGCTGCGCTGGGCTCGGATTACAGGTGCATGGAACGTATAAGTCGTCGTTAAAAATGCCGATTATACGCCACAGATGTTGACAGGCTACCAATTGATGGTGTTGCTGTCTGTTGTACAGTGGGTAGCTTATAACAATTGCGTCCGCTAATTTAAAACTGGCGCAGGAAAGACTTGGGATGCACTTTCAAAAAGTGATGCAACATAACTGAAATCAGAAGAACTGGTGATTATTATGTTATCGTTAGCAATTAGGGCGACAGCCCTCAACCCCGAAAGGATTCAAAATGTTCACTTATCTATCCCTTTTGTCTGCGTCCGAGTGCTTGAAAGCTCACACGCCAGCATGCTTGTCTTGACTCATGAGAATTACCTAAATTGCTCGCCCACCTTCTACGCAAGTGGAAACGAATATTCATGAAGTTGTGGAAAGTCTATAAGTGCAACTGAAGTTTACAAAAGTGTGGAGTGGATCTACTGCAGCCACTTTCCATCTTTATTATAACACCAGGAAAGGATTTATTTACACACGGAGAACCTGGCTTGGGTGAGAGATTTCCGCGACGACCTTCACTCTACAGCTCCGCGATTTCTCGGATCTGCTTTTTTATGAAATATTGGCACAACTATTGCTTCTCTAACTTGCTTCTGTTTCTTGACAGTCATTGGCAAGAGGTATTCAACAACGCGCGCAAGCGTGGGAAGGGTTCCCCCATTAGGGGTGGTCTAGGTTTCATTACATCGCTCCCTACCACTCCGCACCATGTTCCCCACGCGCATATACGAGTTAATATCAGTTAAAACTAGTATTCCCAGTTAGACATTTTCCCCTGGGCGCCTATATGAGCCCACTTCTAGAAGCTGTTGGTCGCTGCAGATCTCGTGACATCTCACAGCTGCATACTTTCCGGTGTGTGTGTGTGTTTTTTTTAGTTAGCGACTGCAGCAGGGGAAAGTAACACTGCCCTATTTAAAATAGTCGACCCCAAAGCATTCGAAGACCACAAATGGGCTGAACGGTATACTTGTTGAACATTTCGCTTCAGACATGCTTGCTGCCACCTGCAAAACAATGTCCATTTCCATCCCCACCCTATAAATGCTGGTCATATCTATTACGATCAAAAACAAGAATGTATGGAAACATTGCAGAGCACCGGCAAACATGACTCGTTATTTTAATATGCACAAGCGTGTCCAAAACTACCATTACGTACCACTAAGTACGTGCACGTACACGCTCACATAAAAGCTCGCAGGGTCAATAACCTTTCCAGGATGATTCTCAGGTGAAATCCATAATGTGCGGCTATTTTGCCGTGTACCTTTTATCACGAGAACGCCGCTTTTCACATTTTTTTTTGTAACTCGAACGCCTCAATGACCAAGTGAACGTGCTGCTCGATCCACAAGGCACGGTCATGCGACATTTGATACTACGCGCCAGCGTGTCGCTCTATCAAGGTCGCATTCGCATAATAGATAAAGCTTTCGCCCAGTGACGCACCGATGGATAGTGTTCGTGTTGCTTACTGATAGAGGAAAATGAGAGAGAGAAAAGGCTATTGCAAATAATGGGCCGGCAGTCTGGTCTCGGTGGCTTCAGGCGGCGGCTCGGAGTCCCTGGACTCGGGCGGTATCCTCAGCCTGCGTGACGGCCCAAAGCTGGTCATTTAGCTGCGAGATTTGGAGGGCCACCTCCCAGTGGTGGTGGCGCCGACGAAGAAGATCCTCCGCGAATCACGCAGCCAGGGGAGCGGCAAGAACGAGTGAGCTCGGGCCTTCCCGTGTTCTGGCATTAAGGCGGCGTTTTCACGACAGCTGTTGAAGGCACATTCCAGGAGCATTTGGTTCAGCGTTGCTCTGTGCTCGCATGCTTTACACATGTCGGTGGGGTATAGAGGTTAAAATAGAGGTGGCGTAAAGTAAGGTACATAAATAAAACTACTTGTTTTCTCTAGGGACCTTAGCGTACATTAGCGGGGCTAGGGAATGGGGTTGGAGAAAGCGAAAGGAATAAACTTTATTTGCAGAGTGAGTCAATGACCGAGTCGTTCAAAGCGGTTGGATTACCTAGTCCAGGATGCCATGGGCCTAAGCTAACATCCTGGTAAATGCAGCAAGTATCGCAGGATGGTAAACATGCGTATGTAACTTCGAGTGCAGATAGCGCGAAAGACACGGATACAAAAGATAGCGACGCAGAAATGGCGCTAACTTCAGAACACGCAAAAATACTTACTAAGGCAAATCACAATGATCTTACGCAAAATCCTCATATCGTGAGAGTAAAAAATCATTTAGACTATCTTGTTAAACCCGCTGAGCAGAGCAGAATTATGCATGCGACGATAGAAGCGAAAAATAACGAATAAATAAATAGATAAAAGAAAACCACGGTACAATCAGTCTATCGTTTAGAAAAATACAAAATACAAATCATACATCGCACACACCTTTCTGTTCTAAAGTGCGACAAGTGGTAATTAAGCACACGCTAATGAGAAGTGTGATATTACGGAGCTATGTTAAGGAATGATAATGTCTTATCGTGAAGGTGTGCGGACGGTTGGCTCACGCACATAACGCCTTGCCTCTGGATGACGCATGCCTCGGCTATATCTCACGAGTTAATTGCTCCCTAGCAGTGACGGAAAAAAAAATCCCAGCACATCCACGAACTGAATGATGAGTGGGACGTAGTCACGTAGCGTACGTACGTCTGTTCATCCGTCCACTCCTATCACACTGAAGCACGCATTGGAAAGACGGACGGACGCTTCGCCTCACTCATCATCATTCACTCCGTGTATATGAGGTAAATTTATTATAAAAGCACGATCTATCTTCTTTAATTTCCAACTATACGAAAACCACAAATGCCATCAAGTGATATATCCTAGGAGATATCCACAATGACATCTAGTGAGCAATTCATTAAGTAGAGGGGGCTGCATACATACTACAAACAAAAGGAGGAGGCACGACTCACACCGCAAGGAGCTTTGCGCCTAAAAGAGGTTAGTTCAAACAGTGGATTGCAATTTGCAAGCACACCGACGGTGATGCAATGCCGAATTGGACGACGGAGCACATTTCAAGAAGCTGCGGTGCAGACGTTCAAACAGCGGCAAATCTGGCCCACGTAAGATTTCCCGCATAAAAGGGGGACTCGCATGGTTCACGACCCTATTTACACACAAAACAACACGAAGGCCATGGTGCACCCTTCTTTTGCTTTTCTTTTTTTTTGCCGATCCTGCATTCATGGGCCCTGTTCACCAGACATCACTGATCCTCAAGGCCTGATCTTGCCAGTTGGGCCTTCCACAACTGGACGTTTGGTCGAGCGATCAGTGACATTGCAGGCGTATGCGTGCGCAGGATTCCCGTTAAGGGACGGGGGGTGAATTTTCGCCCCACCCTATTAAGTCGATCTATAGGGCAGATTTCGCGCATCCTCTCACAAGTGACTAAGAGGGCGCCCATTCCATAGTCAATATATGAAATATATTTAGCGCCCCATCTTAAGTCACTAGGGGCGGGGGACTCCCCCCCCCCCTCACGTGCACGCTAGTGATTGACAGGTTGCGTACACACTCTCATACCACATAGTAGAGTGTATTCGTTGTGGGACAGAATGTGGGAAAACAGGAAATAAATAAAGTAATACTAAGCTGTATGCCGTACTGCACAGTTCAGATGCTGCACCTGCACTCTGCAGGTCCGTGTTATCGCGAAAGTCAAAGAAGGCACCTATGCCCGGTCGCTAAATCACGACGCCATCTATACACAAAATCGTCGTTATATCGAATATTCGTAATAGGCGTATACGTTATGCGTACCGTGATGCTGTCGAACGGAAGTTATAATATCGTTATTATAACCGATATTTTGCGCGGGCCACGCTCGTTATGTGCAGGTTTCAGTTGGTAACACGTTCTATACTGGCGTCCGTTCAATGCTCAAGTGCATCCATCACAGCGGGCAGATCTGGTCAAAAACAAAGGTTGCACGACGTATGCACGAAAGTATACGAAGTGAAGGAAGAAATTTAGCAGTGCTTCCGTTCGGGTTAATTCTGCTCTGACAGGACAGCTGTAGGCCTCAGAAGAAGGCGGCATCATCGAAGTTATCCTCACTGAAGGCGCCATCGTCTTCAAAATCGTCGTAATAATTATGCACATAGTCGGTGGCCTGGAAGCAAAAGAAATATGCAGCATATAGCGCTATGAACTACGTTTTGTCGGGAAAAGTTTTAATCGCCCCACAAAAAACAGCGGATATACATAGTTTCAAAAGAATACTCCTCGCTAACCGGTTTAAATATATGAGAGGAAGTCACGGTGAAAAACATAAACAGCATTTACATATATGGCACGATCTGCGTAATATGGATTCTCTACCTCTTCCATCTCTTCCTCATCTGACTCGCCTTTCTCCTCATCTCCAATTCCGCTTTCGCTGCTCTTTTCGGTGGATTCTTCTTCCCCTTCATCATCACTGCCACATGCTGTCTCGTCCTTTCTACGAGCCTGCAATTATAAATCACGCGTAAAACGAGGCGGCACATCTTGATTACAACGCAACGTACAAAGCTTGATTTTTAAGATAACACAGAAAAAGTTGCATACTTTATAGCATGACCATCAGCAGCATGTGGTCTTGAGGGGGGCAAACAGGAAGGGGGAGGGGGGAGGTTTGCTGGGACTTCAAGGCAGATGCCGGCACATATTGAGGAGGGTGGGAGGGGGCTTGGAACCAACGTTTGTAGAACCTTGGCACCGGCCTGCCAACGCCGCTGTTGACAAGGCGTCGTCAGGCCCCCGCACGCGTTTGGGGAAATGGGTAACAGGCAACCGTTATTGCGGAACTGTGGCGGTGAAGGCCATATATACTGCAGTCGTCTCTGCATGTGATGTAGCCAGTAAGGGTGGTCTGGCGGGCTCTACCCTCTGATATGTTTTTAGATTTTGATGGAACTATAACGCGTGCATAGATACAAACACACGCCCCAACATGCATATATAGGCGCACCACAGTGGCACAGTGTCTTTGCCTGCCACCTCGAAGGTCACTGGTTTGAGCCATGGAGGCCATGGCCGTCGCATTTCGATGGAGCCGAAATTCCAGAGGCGCGCGTGTGGGGTGCGATGTCAGTCAGTCGAAATTTTCAGAGCCACCGCCCCCCCCTTCCCCCCACCCCCTACAGCATGTCTCGTGATCATATCGTAAATCTAGTGCTTCAAATCCTAGATATGCGCATGAAATGATGTCGCAACCCTTTTCCTAAAAAATTCTGGTCATGCCTATTTCGCATAACACAGAGAGAATCACCATTATTACTTCTGCAGTAACATCACCGCGATTGTACTAGCAGTGAGTGTGGCACAACGCCCACCCACCCCCCTCTCATTTCAACGCAATAGGATCAAAGAGCTCGTTTCGCAGAAATTCCGGTGTCGGCGTCGTTTGTTGTTAGCGAAAAATCATCATCTTATGCGTGACCGCAAAATTGAGAACGATGCAAATAAAATGAATAATAAAAACATCTTGGGTACGTGTCACACAGGTCCCGTTAATTAGGGAGGCGATCGCCGGGCTAATTCCAAGGGCCGAAGTATCGGCCCCCCGAACCGCACCACGAAAGCGTGGACAATTTAGAAGTGGTCCTTTTTGGCGCGCCAGCGGACGCCGGCTGTGGCCCAAAGAACAAGTCAGAGCCGAGAGTTGATAAACAAACAAATTATATTCTCAATAATGGCAGATCGAAAACAATACACAAAAATGCACACTCCACAATAGTTGCATACAATATGTCACCAATCAAACCAATCAATCAACGTACTACACAATACAATCAACTACAATTGGAACAACGGACACAGACAACAATACGCACTACAATGCAGTCGCATGCATTGAACAACCAAGACACTTAAAGACTAAAGAGATAGAAAACCTATTCAGTCCAAAGTTCTTGGAACCAAAGTCTAGATGATACTCTTCCGAGAATCACTCACTCCAGTCCAGCGTTGTTGTCGTTCCGCAGCCCTCGAAGTTTCTCTTCCAGGAAACCTCGCCGAAGTTTCTCTTCCAGGAAACCTCCCGTCTTCAATAGGCCACTCTCCAAGCTTCAAACTTCTTCGCCGGAACACGTCGGCTCCACACACGCAGCTGTCGCCACGCGTCTTCGCTCGATAGCGGTAAACACACTCTCTTGCCTGTAGCTCGAGCCTTCACCCCTCAGGTGGAAATCCTCTTCATCTCCTGCATCGTCCCTACGGACAAAACCTTCGCCGACTACACGGCGGAATCCCTACGCACTCTGGCGCTTCTTCCGTCTTCTCCTGATCTCTCATCTCGGCTGCTCGTTTAAATACCTTGCGCGCGACATTCCAGAAGGTTCTCATCATTTCGTCGGCGCGATACGCAGCGAAGGCTGGGAAGAGGGCGAGACGGTTGGAACGCCCTCCGCGGCCGAGGACTCAACTCAGTATGACCACGCCCCTTTCGTTCTAGAACTTTCGCGGGCTATCTCGGCCGCCGATGTGGGGCGAGGAGGTTCGCCGGCGAAGCCACGCTTCCAAGGGGAGAGCGCGCGCCCCCGGGGAGACTTTAGATGTTTGTTTTCTTTTTCTTTTGACCTCGCGGCGCCACTCCGGCGTTTCGTCGCGACAATTTGGCGGCGCGCCCATTTTTAGCGCTCGTTCTGTGACAGTCCGAGGGGGGATCGAACGCGGGTCGTCTGCGTGGGAAGCGGATGTTTTACCACACGGCCATGCGTCTTTTTTTTTCGATTGAATTTCGCGCACGGGGGGTCAAGATAAATATAATACAAATATAACAAACATGACAGACAATTACTACGACCGTCAGTCAACACTGCTAAAGCACATCACGCCTTGAACTTCCTTCATGGTCAGCACGGTTTCTATACCTTCCTAATCCTGCGGGAATACATTCATTTATTCCTACTGTTTCGAGAAACGTTGATATACTTTATTTAAAATACTGTCTTGTGGGTCTCTTGTGAAGTTCACAGTGAAATCTAGCCATTAGAGAGCTCCCTTTACTGAGCAAGGCAGTGATCATGATTGCATCAAAAAGTAGTTCATAACGATTATCTATTGCGAAGTACCTAGCTACATGATAGTCTAACGGAAATTATTTTTAATTGTCCTCTGTAAAAAAATCCCAAAGGTACTTTTAACTTCCTTCCCAACAGTGTAGAAAAATGTGGTCAATTGTTTCCGATTTGCTACAGATTAGACAGTCAGATCCCCCATGACATGCGACTGTTTGTGAATACATTGAACACGGCCTTGCGTCTCCTTCTGAATACAGTGAAAACAACTTAATCTGCTTGGAAATGCAGTGAAAGTGACACATGCTTTACAAACAGACGTGTCCTGTATAACATGCTTCAAGATACATCATGAATTATTGCAGTAGTAATGCGCAGTACAAGCGCCCTTTGCAATTGGGCGTCAACGTGTCTACAAAAGGCACACACGCTATACTGCGCCTGTTTCCTTAAGGCCACGTATAGTGGGCCCGTGCATAGCAAATTCGAAGAGGTTCCATGCACTAAGTGTTTGAAGTACGCACTAAGAACAGAAGATCGATATCGTGTTCAACTCCTAAAAGCGACACTTTATAGGGTCCCCTATTTTGTTTTTGTTTTGCCTTTTAATACAAAGCACAGCATGGCACTCAACCACATCTTCGTTCCTGGTCCCAACTTCAGATCAAAATGATGCCTCCCTTCGCCTTCAAAAAAAAAAAAAAAGAAAGGGAAAAATCTTCCGACACCCCAGGTTGGGTTCAGAACTTGGAATTTGTGGATCTTACGATAACACGTTCCGTTTCCGTCCACGCTATACAATCATTTTTTATAATTCTTGAACTCCCGCCAAAATTCACAACCTAATAAATCCTTCGACGAGCACTGATTTGACTCTGTATGAAAAAACACCACACCGCAATGACACCCTCACCTTTAGAAAATGTTAAGCGTTACAGCAGTTAAGCGTATGCAGTCGTACAGAATGATCTACGGACCACGCTCCCGGTGTACTCTGAAATGTACTCTAATTAATGAAATCGCCCAACCGCGGTGGTCTAGTGGCTATGGTACTCGGCTGCTGACCCGCAGGTCGCGGGTTCGAATCCCGGCTGCGGCGGCTGCATTTGTGATGGAGGCGAAAATGTTGTAGGCCCGTGTGCTCACATATGGGTGCACGTTAAAGAACCCCAGGTGGTCGAAATTTCCGGAGCCCTCCACTACGGTGTCTCTCATAATCATATTGTAGCGATGCTGAGGCATACAGGCTAAAAAACAAGCAACTTTTTTAGGGCGAACTTGTGCCTACAAGTCTAATGACTATGGTCGTCGAGTCCAAGTAGCCGAGAGGCACAGAGTCAACTAACTTCCTCTTCCTCGTTGTTGGAGCGCACGAACGCGTGACGCATGCCAGCCGGGTCTTGCTGGTGCTCTTGCCATGATGATTGCGGCGGCTACTTGAACGTGGCCAACCTGTCGCGGCATTATCCCCCCCCCCCTCAGACGCATCGTCCCGATGCTTGAGAGAGTAAAATGATACATGCACCCTCTCACTCGTTTTCCGACGATCTGTCATGATAGGGCTTCATGCGGACTACATGTACCACTTCCGTGGTATTGCGGCGTCTTGAGCTCACGTGTCCCGCGGATCTGACTTCATAAGTGACGTCGCTGATACGGTTGAGTACTTCATAAGGGCCGAAGTATCGACAAAGAAGCTTTTCAGAGAGTCCGCGGCGGCGCACTGGGATCCATATCCACACTTTGTCACCGGGATGATAAAGTGCGTCACTGCGTCGCTTGTTGTACCGACTAGAGTCGACGCGCTGTTGACGGCGTATTCGGTATCTTGCCATTTGTCGTGCTTCTTCGGCTCGTTGCAAGAAGTCATCTAAGTCAGGTGGATAGCTGTTTTCGTCCTGTAGTGGTAACATGGCATCCAGTGGGCCGAATACTACCAACCGAATACTACCATCCAGTGGGCCGAATCCAGTGGGCCGAATACTCTTCGGCCGAATACTAGTTCGAAAGGGGCAACGTGGGTTGTTTCTTGAACGGCTGTATTATATGCGAATGTTACGTAGGGTAATATTTCATCCCACTGTTTATGTTCAACATCTACATATATTGATAGCATGTCGGTCAGAGTTCTGTTGAGGCGTTCGGTTAAGCCATTTGACTGAGGGTGATACGCCGTTGTTCTTCTGTGATCGGTATTTGTCATGCGCATCAGACATTGCATAAGGTCTGCAGTAAATGTTGTGCCCCGATCCGTAATAACGACGATGGGCGCACCATGTCTGAGCACTATGTTGTTCACAAAGAACTTGGCGACTTCGGCAGCTGTCGCACTGTACAGAGAGTCAGTCTCAGCATAACGGGTCAGATAGTCTGTAGCTACGACAATCCATTTCTTGCCTGCACATGATGTCGGGAAAGGTCCTAGGAAGTCCATGCCGACTTGTTGGAATGGGGCATCCGGAGGGTCTATTGGATGGAGAAGGCCGGCTGGTTTTACGGCTGGAGTTTTGCGCCGTTGACATTGACGACAAGTTTTCACGTAGCGCTGCACTGATGCGAGCAACTTAGGCTAATAGTACTTCAGGCGAATCCTGGCGAATGTTCGGCTCACACCCATGTGGCCGGATGTTGGCTCATCGTGGCATGCATGCAGAATTTCCTGTCGCATGGCTGTGGGCACGACTAGTAATAACGTTTCGCCATTAGGTTCAAAGTTCCTCCTGTAAAGGACACTTCCTCGAAGGCAGAACGTGGAGAGTCCTCTGGAGAATATGCGAGGTACTTGAACGTCGAGACCCTGCAGGTGTTGTATAAGCGCCAGCAAATCCGGGTCATCTCGTTGTTGTTGAGCGATTTCGGATGCGTCGACAACGCCTAGAAACGGGAAGTCTTCCTCTTCAGGTATAGCTCGTTCAGTCGAAAACGACACGCTGGACCTACGCAGGTTAATTACGGCGCCATTAGCTCGCAAAAAATCCATTCCTATAATGAGGTCTCTTGAACATTCTGGTAGCACAATGAAATTGGCAACGTAAATAAAGCCCCGTATATTTCAAGTCTTGCGGTGCATCTGCCAAGGGGCGTAATAATGTGACCACCTGCCGTGCGTATCTGCGATCCACTCCACTGTGTCACAACTTTGTTTAGCTTCTTCACCATCTTGTGACTTATCACTGAATAATCAGCACCAGTGTCAACTAAGGCATTCAGCTCCCATCCTTCTATTCTCAACCGCAAATCTGAAGTAACGCTTTCGTGGTTGCACCCATTTACCGGAAATACACCGTCGTCACCCTCAAGCCATATTGGAGGATCTTCGTAATTGATGTTATCAGCGGCCTCACCTCCACAGGTCGCTTGCTTCAGTTTTCCGGGAGTGGACTTGGAGAGCGATGACCAGGCTGCCTTGAAGGTGCACGTGGGCTGGATGACCGATAGCGCATAGGCGATGGTGACCGTGACCGACGTTGGCGTAGAGGTGGCGAGTTCTGGCACGTGGACAAGTACTCCTCAATCTCCGCTGGTCGTTCGCCGTTTCGGGGGCACGGTGCATACGACGGGAAGCCTCTTAATCCAGCCTGTCGGTAAGGGCAGAATCTGTACAAATGACCCGCTTCGCCACAATGGAAACAAAGAGGCCTGCGCTCGTGATCACGCCAGATGTCACTTTTCCTGGGCCTAGGCTCCACATAGCGATGCGTGCTGCGTGCTCCTGGGGGCAGATAGGTAGCCGTTGGTTCCCGTGGACGAGGTGCGCTGCGTGCTGTAGATGGGAGAGGAGTCGTCGCCATCGCAACTGCTGCATTGCTGTGTACCGTTGGTTGTCGGAGAACTTCAGAGTATATATACGTTCGGATAGGTCGAACCGGCTGCAGCTCACGCTCTGGTTCTCGTATGACCTGCCTCAGTTCGTCACGAACAACGTCTGTAACAGATAGTGCAGTTGCAGTCTGGGGCATTTGTAGTCTGCTCAGTTCTTCCCTAATAACTGATCTAATAATGAGCTCTCGCAGGGCTTCAACGTCGTTTCGCACGCCTCCAGAGAATACCTGTGCAGATGCGCAGTTAAGATTCCGATTGTACTGCCGAGCGCGCATTTCTAGTGTTTTTTCGATGGCCGTCGCTTCCGAATAAAACTCGGCAACTGTGCTTGGATTGTTGCGGACGAGAACGGTGAACAGCTCTTGCTTCACTCCGCGCATTAGATGGCGCACCTTCTTATCTTCAGCCATGTTGTGATCCGCACGCTTGAACAGACGGACCATGTCCTCGATGTACATGGCAGCACTCTCGTTTGTGAGCTGGTTCTTGGATTGAAGAGCAGCTTCCGCTTTTTCTTTTTGGTCTACGTTCGCGAACGTAGCCACCGCTTGTCGTCGAAATACCTCCCAGGTAGACAACGAGGTTTCATGGTTCTCAAACTATGTCTTTGCGAAGTCTTCCAGGGCGAAGTATACGCGACGGAGCTTCTCTCTTTCGTCCCAACCATTCAAGCGCGCCACTCTCTCGAACAGGCCCATCAACATCCTCGTACGAGTCGCCGTGGAATACTGGCGGCTGGTGCGGTTGGCTTATGAACACTTGTGCCGGTGTTACCTGGGTAGTCATAGTGGTGGCATCCATAGTTTGAATTCCCCTTGGTTTGGAGTGAAGAGGACCGAACTCAGGTGAGTCACCTCGAAGACGGCGACTTGCCCTCTGGTGTACAGGAGTCACTTCCACGGGGTTGATACGCTGGTCGTCGGGGCTACGCTGTCTTGAGCTCGCGGGGCTTCGATTCATAACCCAGCACCTCCACCAGAAATGTAGTGATGCTGAGGAATACAGGCTAAAAAACAAGCAACTTTTTTAGGGCGAACTTGTGCCCACAAGTCTAATGACTATGGTCGTCAAGTCCAAGTAGCCGAGAGGCACAGAGTCAACTAACTTCCTCTTCCTCGTTGTTGGAACGCACGAACGCGTGACGCATGCCAGCCGGGTCTTGCTGGTGCTCTTGCCATGATGATTGCGGCGGCTACTTGAACGTGGCCAACCTGTCGCGGCATTATGATGATTTTGGGACGTTAAACCCCACATATTAATCAATCAAATCTAAAAAACAATGAAAGAACAGAACACATACCTGCAGCGCCAGCAGCTCTTGCTCAATGTTTACTTGAGCGACAGAGGTTTGAGATGACCTCTTGGTCTTTTTCGCCATTTTAGAAACCTTCAGTTCGTCCGGAAAGTACGAGGAATCTGCCGGAGAGAAATCGCAGCCACATAAGCGACAGTTCACAACTCAACTTGACTAGCCGGAAGTTCAGCTGGCTGGTATTGCCGCATTATGCAAAGGAGTGAAGGACTATAGTTTCGTGATCTTTACTCCACTTTCTGTGGTCTCGCGGAACTCATTTTTCCTCGTTAATTTCTCCTGTTCTTTGTGTTGTCGATTACTTTCTCCTCCAAGTTTCGATGCGTTTCCGGGTCGTACAAGAAATAAAAAAAACAAAATTTATTTTAAGCATGAAGCACATTTGGGACTATATATAAAAGCTTGTTGCCATCTCCAGTCGTCACGGCGTGTCATGTAGTCATGGTTCGTAAGAAATACGGGTATTCGTCACAATGGGTTCATCTCACTGCTCGGCCGCAGCCCATTTAAGGTGATGGCGACAATCGCCCAACAAATAATTAAGAAATATGGCCGATGACGTTAGTGGGGCTGAAACGCCCTTTTCTGAATAATAATAATAATAATAATAATAATAATAATAATAATAATAATAATAATAATAATAATAATAATAATAATAATAATAATAATAATAATAATAATAATAATAATAATAATAACAATAATAATAATAATAATAATAATAATAATAATAATAATAATATTATTATTATTAGTATAATGTTATTATTTATTTATTTATTTATTTATTATTTATTTATTTATTTATTTAACGTGCCCGAACAACCGCAAGGTCTTTGTGCAGGCGCACGCAAAAATAAAACGATAAAAATAAACAATACAATGCACACAGTCTTCAGAAATATCAAGAGCAAAAACGCGTAGACATAGGGAAATGAACACAAAAGTGGAGGAGTATAAGACAGGACGAGAAATATTGAAGGGAAACGAAAAATTAACATTATAGAGACTTTGTAATAATAATAATAATAATAATAATAATAATAATAATAATAATAATAATAATAATAATAATAATAATAATAATTGAAGGTAAAAAAACCTGGAGGCCCTGCACTGACCAAAGTAAATATTTAAAAAGAAAAAAAAACAGAAAAAAGACGTTTCGGCTCCCACACGGAAGCCTTGTTCACAGTGTAATGAAAACATGTGTAAATCAGTTCGTGATATGTATGTTTCAGTACATCATGCAGGCAGCTCGCATATACTGAAGGCAAACTACCATCGCTCCTGTTTAAAGTGCGCGGAGTGGTTTGTATCACGAGTGACTCAAGATAAAGACACCGTGACAGTCCTTTTTTTCTAGCGAGAACACGTGCCTTCCCCTAGTCGACTGTGTGACCACCTGACGCATGCTCGGCCAAGTCACTGGATTTAACATTTCCTTTAACGTCGTAAATGTGCTGTTTGAGGCGCCCTTCAATGCCACCACTTTCACCGATATACACATCGTCACAATCCGCGCAAGGAACAGCGTAAACCGCACCAGGGAAATTTACTTTGGTTAATCTGTCTTTCACATTTACAAGCGATTGCCGTAGCTTTTGGTCCGGAACATGTGCCACATGGACGCCGTAGGAACGCAGAATGCGGCCGAGAGCTTCGCTTATGAAGAGAATATACGGTATTCCCGCACGCTTTTCACCAGATGCAGTACAGGGCATGTCCACTTTCCCGGTTCGCTCAGAAATGACTCGCACTATCTGTTATAAATATGTGAATATATGAAAATATTGCCTGAAAGTGAAGTATCCTAACAGCACGGTACAGATTGAAATCGAAGGTTTAATGATATGCAGTCTATAACGTATACGTCAATATCGTGATAAGTGTACACAGTGAAAGAAAAATGAGCGATTCATTTCATATCGCAAAAAAAAAAGAAGAAGATAACTTTTTGGTCTATGAATGAAATAAACAAACTTCCTGGAAGGGCACATCCGGAAACTACCGCGCACCAAATGTATATGTAATCTCGCTGTTTTCATCAACGTGCCTTCTCTGTTTTCATCAATGTCATCGCGACTGTTCCATGTCCGCTATTTTGCTATATTGAAGATCATCACCTAATAAAGTCAGCTGGAAGCACGCGTTTTGCATGTGCGTCTTTGTTCTTTTTTTATAGGGGCGAAGCTCCTCAAAGCGGCACCCGTTCGTCCCTCATAGTACGTAACATGTCTCACGCTTTAACCTCCAAGGGTGTGTCGGTGGGAGATTTCTCCTGTGCGTTGTTAAACCATAAAAAATCGCAGCGTTCGCGTTAACTAAAAGCCAAATTATTCTGTCTCTCATTCCCATTAGCAGCCATTGGCATGTACATTGAGCAGTATCTGACAAGAAAGGGTTGCTGCGTTATACTTGCTGGACGTAACCTCCTTTGTTTCAGAAAGGTTTAGCGAGCGTTGGGACGCAGTGCCATGAATACAGTGAACTAGTATATACCATGAACTCGAGGTGGTTAAAGGTGGGAAGTAGACCCGAAGCGCCAGCCGTAAGAAAGTGTGCGTGTGCCCCCTCTCGTTTAGTCCTTGGAATGTCTGCTGGATGGCGGTGCTTCTATATGCGGAATATATAATGAAAAAGATGCGAGATTGTTGTACTTGGAGTGTTGACTAATGGACGAATGTACACACAGACAGATGCATGGACGGACGCACGGATGGCTGCACGAACGGATGGACGCATGGGCGGACGCAGGGTGGATGCATGGACGAGCGCATGGACGGACGCATGGATGGACGTGCGGACGCACGTACAGACGCACGCACGGACGGGCGGATGGACGCATGGGTGGACGCATGGATGGACGCACGGACGGACGGAAGCAAGAACGAATACATGGACGGATGCTTCGCCCCACTCTCCGTCATCCACCCCGTGGATATGCTGCCATTTTTTTTTCACCACGTTTTATTTTCGCAGTGAAAAACTTACTAAACCTAAAGCGCACTAATTTAAAAGACGTTTAGGCTCTCGGACGGGGGCCTTGGTTACATTAGTGATGTTTTATCTGTGTCAGCTAAAGAGACAAAACAGCGACAGTTAAAAAACAGCACACCGGATCATTAAGAGATGAAACGCACGCGTACACAGCCTTTTTCTCCTAGTTTTGTTCACCTGGTAAATCGTCTTTCAGTTCTGCTTTGTCATTTACAAACATACGTTACCAGCAAACGAGGTAACAACCCCGGTAATTAATTCGTACATCTTCTGAATTCTAGCTCCCCTTCGTCTGGAACATAAATGCTATCATCACGTTTAAATCTGCATTTGTATACATTGTCGTAAATTTAGTAGAATTGAACAGCGCTACTAATGTTAACTAATACTTGGTTGTTACTGGCCATACGGGTGGAAACTATAATTCAGGCAGTGACCTGTAGAAGAAGTTGAATTATCTTACCATAGTGGACGCGAGGAGGCGGCATAGGGACGACTTTGAAACAGTAATGATCGATTCGCGGCTTCTTGGGTGGAGGAACGTTGAAACCGGACTTGTAGAACTTTCTGGGCTGCTGAACAAGGGCCGAGGTCAGATGTGTGTCCTCTTGCGAGATCTCCAAAGGCGGCACAGGACACTGCCAAGGCTGCGAAAGGGATGAGCCATGCGGTGTAATATGCTAATATAGCACGGGCTTCATTACCGGTGGCGCCTTGACAAGCTTTCGAAAGCACATCTCATCTGAGTATCCGCGCTGTACACAGTGTCCTCGCTTCTTATAACAATCTCTACCCCCCCCCCCCAAAGAAAGTCTAGTTCATTGTCGCTTTCTTGCCTTCTCATGTCGCGGGGTGTTCCTGTCCTTCCTTCATGCATCATTCACCAACTGTCTTAGATATCATTCACGCTTGCCACAAGTTCAGCTCAAGATTAATATAACTCATGTTCTATTTTCACACACACACACACACACACACACACACACACACACACACACACACACACACACACACACACACACCACACACACACACACACACACACACACACACACACACCACACACACACACACACACACACACACACACACACACACAAGGCGGGCAGATATATATATATATATATATATATATATATATATATATATATATATATATATATATGTGTGTGTGTGTGTGTGTGTGTGTGTGATGTATGAAGGTAGCGATGGTTTCTAGAAGTAGATGAGGAAGAAGTGACAATAGAATAAACATGGCGTATGAGCCAGGCCACGTCTCCCGCATCGTAGCATCACACAAGTCGACAGGATGAAGACCTCCCAGCCACTTCATCTGTGTCTCATCATCGACGCAGTTCTACACAAGACGCCCTGACCATACATCGACTGCGGAATCATCTCCTGGCCGCACACAGCGACCAGCACCATGACAGAATCATCGACCGACCTTCCCATCCCCAAGTACACCGGAGCAGCGAACGATGGACCCGTACAAGAGTGGTTCGACCTGTTCGAGTTCCACGCTACTGCTGCATCTTGGTCGGAACGAGCAATGGTTACAAACTTCAGCGACTACGTCACCGGTGAGGCATTTAAATTTTACCTCACCCACATATTCGACAACGATGAGTCTTGGCAAAAGATAAAACAAGAAATGATCGTTTGGTTTAAAAATTACGATGACGACTACGACGAAGACTTGCTTGTAACCCTGGTTTAAAAATTACGATGACGACTACGACGAAGACTTGCTTGTAACCCACCATCCACAGACAACCGCACTCAATCGTCAATTTTACAGGCAGTCTTCAACCACTCGAATGCACAACAAGATTCGACCTTTGACAAAAGACGAAGTGGCACACGAGTTCAGTGGCAGACGACAACGCGTATTTTGGGAAAAACACAGCCATCGAGCGCGCCTCCCTTTTGCACGAAAGTCGGCATTTGCGAAGTCATCGCTTGAGCATATGGCCCGAGACGTTGCCCAACCACCTGATGCCGTTCACTCTTCGTCTGGCATACGTGGTCCACCACCTGGGTTTTCATCACGCGGTTCTTCAAGCGCTCCTAACGCTCACCATTTGCCTTATAAGGACGCCGTATTTATGGTAGATGACCTGGCGCATCGGGAAATACCCGGTCGAGCCATGCTCTTTCCACACGTGTTCATGCATGGCCATCCAGTCCATACACACTCGACAGTGGAAGCAACACTGAAGGCTCCGACACATCGAACGTCGCACGCTGCAATGCGCAAGAGCCTCTCGTAGTGAACAGGGTAGAAGAAGCTTCTGAAGAACTTTCTACCAATTCAGAAGCATTATCTTCATTGCCCGAAGTGCACGACAACAGCCCACAAACTACCAGCTGCCGACTTGGCCCCACATCAAGTTGTGAAGAAAACGAGCGCGATGTTCAAGAAGGGATCTCACCGCAATGCGTTCCACAGCAACAGCAGCAACGCCAGCAAAAGCAAGTCCAAGAATCGCAGACACTCCAACGAATACACCGACAAAGACGACTACGAATGAAAACTTCAACGGAAGCACGCTCCCAACTTGAACGACTTAAAAAATTAAGAACTTTGATACAAGGGCCATTTCAAAAAAAAAAAAAAGACGTTTCCGGATGAAGGAACATCGTCACGGACGCTCTCGGCGCCAGCGGTTGCACAGACGACAACACCACGGAAAACGCCCATTAATACGTGGAGCAACTTCTTGCTCGCCGCCAGCACACAGGCATTTAGTCGTCACCATCTCTCAAAAAGCACGCATACTAGATACAATGCATCTGTCGCGGCCACGACTCAGAATCCAACGCATTAGACATCCAACCTTCCAACGCTACAAGGACTCCCAACCTTGTTAGTTTTTCACTACTATCCAGGCTGTGTCATCATTTCTATCATCATTTTCCACGTCGAATGCATGGCTATGCTCTCCAGAACGCAACAGCCAACCTCGCCCACCTGAGGTCTCCTAGATCTCACTGGACTGCCTTCCCTGTGAATGTTTTTGTGCAAGTGCATGGAACTGCCGTGTTACATGGAACTACTCTATTTTGTGATATTGTTTCCTATGATGAGACACCACTTGTTCATGCTTCATAGTTCGTAGCTCGCGCATACTTTCGAGGGGAGGGGGAATCGTGTGATGTATGAAGGTAGCGATGGTTTCTAGAAGTAGATGAGGAAGAAGTAACAATGGAATAAACATGGCGTATGAGCCAGGCCACGTCTCCCGCATCGTAGCATCACATATATATATATATATATATATATATATATATATATATATATATATATATATATATATATATATATATATATATATATATATATATATCTGCCCGCCATTTACGCGTGCTCCAGTTGCAATAGTTACGCGAAGACGGTCACTCCTTGTAGGCCCTGTGGTTTCGAGGAAACGTATACGCGCATCGAGATACTGTAATGCTCTGGCTGATTCGATATCTAAGCGACAATGGCTTCATTCCAATGGACGGTAGGGGGGGGGGGCAAAAATGAGAAGACCATGTGATTTCCATGACCTGTACTAGCCACCCTACATTTTAGGTGAGAAAAAAGAGAAAGAAAGGAAAGGCAGGGAGGTTAACCAGGTTTCACCCGGTTTCTTACCCTGTACACGAGGCAGCGGAAAGAGGGGAGGAAACATAGAGAGAGAAGGAAAGAGAGAGCAAGTGATGGCGTCGAAAAACTCTAGCTGGTGATGACCAATCTGGAGTGCCCAATTACGGCATGCCCAAGAGGAGTGCTACCGGGAGGGTATGAAGGAGAAGGGGCTGAAGGTCGCCCCACCCCCGGAATTCTCACCTGCCTCCCTATGCCCCCCCCCCATGAACAAACACAATAAATTGATAATGCACGAGTTACACGCCTTCCTGCCACCTGAAAAAATTCACTTGTCGTAGATGCCCTACCAGTGAAAAAAAAAACTATCACTGCCTTTGGGCACGCCTCAAAATCATATCTTGGTCTTGTCACACACACACACACACAAAAACAAAAGCATTTAAATACACAATGATCGAAAATTCCAGAGTGAAGAGTGCAGGACTACTATACATAAAAAGAATATGATGAAGGATGTTCAGTACACACCGGGTACAGGGGCGGTGGTTCCAGGTGTTCTTCATCTAGTTCTTCGGCGGCGAGACGCAGCTGCGAGGAATTGAGCATTTTGCTGGCAGAATACACCGGTACACCCAAACGGCCACAACACCACCTCGTCCTTCACTGTTGCTACTGCCGCTTGTAAGCATAGCCATTACCCACAATGGGGACCGGCTGCCCACCAACGGGGATCAACACTGGCACTCATAGCAAGAAACACAAAAGTAAATTACAACGTTCAAAAGAGATAATATGTGGAGTTTTACGTTCCAAAGCTACCACATCAATATCACCGTAGTGGAGGGCTCCGGAAATCTGGTGTTCGTTAACGTGCCTTTCAAAAGAAAATACGGGATAAAAGAAATGAGTGAGACATTTGACAGCAAGGCTTTTGTATGTCGTGTAGCGCGCAAACATAAACAGCAAGGTCTTTCAACCAGATGTTTACCGGTCGAATTGAATACCGGGGGTGGGGGGTAGGAGCCCATTCACACACAGTAGTCTATTGAGGGAGGAAGAAAACAACAAAAAAGTTTTGTCTGAATTTGTTCTAACGTAATAATAATAATAATAATAATAATAATAATAATAATAATAATAATATAATAATAATAATAATAATAATAATAATAATAATAATAATAATAATAATAATATAATAATAATACCTGAGGTTTTACATCCCAAGACCACCACATATGATTATGAGAGATGCCGTATAAAGGAGTATATATCAAATTTTGACAACCTGGTGTTTTTTAAAGGGGCCCTTAAACACTTTTTCAAGTGACCATGGACTTAATTCACTGGAAGAGCTTATAGCCTCACGAATTCAATGCCGCAAAAGTTTTAAGAATCCGTCCTGTGTGAGTGGAGTTAGAAAGTTTTGTCACATGCTGCAAGTGCACTCTGTCTTCTCTCGTCTTGACGAAACCGCTGGAAGCTAAGCTGGGAGGGATGGCAGGGCCACAGAAAACTTCACGCGCGCCTGGCAACCTTGAGCACTTTTTTTTTCTTTTTTTTTTCGAATGGGCGGCTTGCTCAGTGTGATCGCGCACGCACGTGTGGACGAGCAGCGGCATCCCGCGGCGATCTATATAACGAGCGAGCGCGCCATGTTCAAATCAGCCAATGGCTGATAGATGGGTCGTTGACGAGTGGTTTTGGACATATAACATGATTTTTCGAGAGAAGAGAAACCAATTTTCAGCCGACTTTGATCATTTATTGCGAATTCCGGGCCGCGTGCTGTGCTATAATATTTGGCTCGCTTGGCCGGGAGCTTCTACTACCGATCGGCAGCATTTTCTGACCATGCTCAAGAAGTGTTGCAGGGCCCCTTTAACGTGTGCTGACATTGCACAATGCACAGCCCTCTAGCCTTCTGCCTCCATCTAAATGCGACCACCACGGCTGGGACCGAACCCGCGACCTTTTGGTTGGCAGTCGAAAACCGTAGCAAACTTTCCCTCTAAGCGGACTTCTTTTTTTTGTTTGTTTGAAGCCCTGACTCACCACATCCATAACACAGCTTAAGGAGGCGCGTGAGCACTATTCGGAGGTCAATATACTCTCATACGAGAGTGACGGGATCCAAAAACGAATTAACGTGTCACTTTAAAGAGAGTCATTTCAGTGGCAAGTCAGGGACTTGGCTTCAGGTCAAGGTAGCCCGCACCAATCGGCTGCCCCCAGCTGTCACCGATGCTTAGAACTGGTCACACTTACCAGTGGGTGCTACAGGCAGTACTGCTCCCTTCCTTTCATGACGGCAGATGCATACCACCTGGGTATACCATGCACGTGCCTCGGCTTGCGAACAGAACTTTTCCATCGGCTACATCAAACCGTGTTTTGTTTGCTGTATAGTGCCATGAACACAGGCGGGCACAGAGTTCTCCCTCAGGTGGGCGAAGTGACAGGGACTTCAGGCGATGGTTCGATGCAACGCTCCTCCTCCTCCCCGAGTCACTGCGCCTCCTGCCTTACTATGTCAGTGCATGGGGATGGCTATGCTCCTTCTTTCTTAGGCCACGCCTCTCTTACAAAAATGGAGGGAGGGGGTAAACGCATACCTTGAAACTGGTTTCCTATCCAGAATGCATTATAGGTGTGTTGCGTGTGTAGCAGAATGGAAATGGATCCAGGGGTACATCTATTTCGTTCGACGCAGTCCAATGCTTTGGAAAGTCAGACTTCAGTTCGTAAATTGCAATAGGTAGAGTTAAGTAGTATAGGTTAAAACCTCAATTATCGAACCTTTCTAAGTTGTGACAATGTTCATTCGGATCACTTGTGCAAGTAGTCTGAGCTTCTGAGAGTAATTCGTACAAGTTATTAATTATTATTCCGCCCTGGAACACTTTAAAAATTTGTTAACAAATAAAAAGTTTTATAATTGAAGGACCAGACAGAATACATGTTAAGAGCATGACATGGAGTGTTTAACTGAGCAAAGACTATACAATATGGTCTAGTGTTAAGGGGAACGTTTCAATCAGTACCATTGTTATTGTTGGTCCCGCAACTGCTACGAGACGTAGAAACATAGCGTGCATGTCGTTAGAATGTCAAGAGGAGTCAGTAATGTGAACATTGAGCACATCTAAGCCACGATGTTATTGAAAGAGAGTGGGATTCAGACACCTAACGCGCAGGCATTCCTTTTAGCAGTGGACCCACCTGTGCATAAACATGCTCCTTCGGAAGGCAGTAACTGTCGAGACGAAAACAGATGCTCTTGATAAAAATTTCGCCTCAGCGAGATTCTCTGTTCAAGGGTTCCTTATAATAAACGAAGGATAACTTAGATTCAATTTTCTTTACACTTTGTTGTCAGTCCACTACAACGGCACCTACTTAATTAAGCACTAACCATTAAGAGAATAGCTAATGTGGACACGCGTCTCCTGATAGATTGTACTTTTAACGTGCATATTTAGGACAAGGAAAAGACCCATAGTTTCAGATGCAATGACGAACGAGTACGATGAAAGCAAGGACAAAAAAAAACACCACTTTGTTTCTTTGTGTTCCTGTCGACCTGCCATGATGGTCTAATGGTTATGGGGCTCGACTGCTGATCCGCAGGTGGCGGAACTAATCACAGACGTGGTGGCCTCAATTGAGATTGAGGCGGAAATGCTTGAGGCCCGTGCATTTAAATTTGAGTTCGCGTTGAAGAGCCCCAGATGCTCTAAATTTCCGAAGACCTTCACAACGGCGTTTGTCCCAATCATACGGTAGTTTCGGGACGTTAAACCCCAACAATTATTATTATTCGTGTCCTTGTTATGGTGGCGTTTTGCTTCATCCTCAGTTCTCAATTTGAACCAACTAACCCTTATCATGGTATAAGATGGTAGGCGTGCAGGAAAGGGGGACACATTAGATCAGTGCAACACAACGCGGCTCGTTTGCGTTGTCCGGATCTCTTTTTGTGTCCATGTATGTGCTTCTTACGTACAATTATCATGAATCCGCGCTAACTAGACCTATACTAAGTCATTGTAACCACCATCAGATTGTTACCGCAAATGAATATCTTCTTTGAATCAGGGCTTCAGCAGTGAGCGACCCCCAGGTACGGGAAAGGCTCTCAAAATCAGTGACAACAACGTCGAAGTACCTCCGTGCTCGAGGGCTGAGAATTTCCCCGGAGAAATGCGCCTTAGTTCCTTTCACTTGAAAGGCAATGTTCTGGTATCCCATTTCCATGGAGAATGCCAGAATTTCGTATACGAGATATCATCGATTTCTGGGCATCATTATTGACAGAAATCTTTTGTGGAGTGCTCACATCGTGCGCTTGAAGAAGAGGCTCAGCCCTATCGCCCATGAAATGAAATTTCTCGCCGGTAAAACGTGGGGAACATCCCGCGTCAGCCATGCTTGAACTGTACAGAGCAGGGTATTTTTGGTATAGCACACCCGTGTTTTTAAATGCCTGAAAAACCAACACCCGGGTCCTGCGCAGCATTCAAGGCCCAGTTCTTCGCACATCCTTGTGATTGCCTAGGTGTGCTAACACGTTCGCAACTAGTACCATTGCCAAAGACCACCCGATTACGACCTTTTTAGCAGTCGACACACTTCGGTCGCATATTCGCCATATATTCAGACTGCCTAACCACCACCTTGCTAGCCTGCCACTGGAAAGACCGGAGGCAGAGTTCTCCAGAGTGGTGGCGCCTAATCAGCATTCCATCTCTTGGAGATTCTCACTTGCAACCATACCGCTATGCCCGGATGGGTGCTTGCAAAGACCCCCTGTACACCTTGAAGCACTGGGGATAACCAAAAAGGCTAGCCTGTCATCTGCAGACCTTAAGCAGATGTCATTGGACCTTTTGCATATATCATATTTATTTATTTATTTATTCAAAATACCTTACAGGCCCACTGAAGGGCATTGAGTAAGGGGGGCATTAGTAACAAACGAAACAACAATAAAGGAGAAAAGCAGACGAAAAAATATATACATATATAAAAGATTACATAAATCAAGGTGCAACAGCGTTATACAATACTAGAGTGCAACGAAATCAGGTTGTGACGAAAAATTTCACGGTTACAAATGGATACAACATGATCCGGAAGACCGTTCCAATATGCAATGGCTCGAGGTAGTGATGATAAGTTAAATGCCTGCGTGTGACCATGAATGCGCATAAAACTACGGGTCTTGTGAATGCGCTGGGAAGTGCGCGCAGGAGAATAAAGTGGCAAACAGTGAATTTCGTTACTATAAATGTACCTATGAAACAGACATAAAAGAGCAATGTTGCGGCGTATTTCTAGTGACTGAAATGCAAGGTCTTGTTTTATTAGGGTAATACTTGAATGATAGTCGTAGTTTCCGGAGATGAATTTCGCTGCCATATTCTGGACGGCTCCCAACATACGTACCAAGTAATCTTGATATGGTGACCATGTGGATGATGCATACTCTAGCTGTGGGCGAACGTAAGTAATATATGATAATTCGCGTACGTTAGAAGGAGCGTTGCGCAAGTTTCTGCGGAGATATCCGAGAGATTGAGATGCTTTCGATGAGACACCTGCTA